CAACTTCTGAAGTCGAATATATAGAAACGACTTCATGCACGTCTCAAATTATTTGTATGCAAATTCAATTACAAGAATATGGAATAAATATGAAGAAGATTCCTCTTTATCGTGATTCAGAGACTGCAATTCATATTTGTCACAATCCAGTTCAGCACTCTAAAACAAAAATATCACCTTAAGATATCATTTTATAAAAGATCATGTTAAAGATGGAAACGTTGAAATTCATTTTGTTCGGTCAGCATATGAATTGGAGAATTTTTACAAAGGCTTTACCGGAAGTTACCTTTAATCAAATTTTGTAAAGACTCGGAATGATTGACGCTGAATCAATTCTGAAATCATTGGTGTAATCCCGAAATGTTTTGAAGATTAGAATCTATCAAATTTTACTATTCATCTTAGAATTTATATATTGTTCTTCTGAAATGTTCTGATCACCGAAAGCAATCGGAACTTACTTGTAACATCCTAAAAATTTAAGACTAGGTTCTTAAATTAATAAAGTAAATAAATCAAAAATGATTTATATAAATAAATCATCAAGGGATAATTATACCATTAGTTTATACGTAGTTTAGAAAGTTATAATTGAAAATAATAACAATTTTAGAAGTTAAAGGGACAAAAAGTGTCAAATTGGAAAAATATAATGAGTTGATGAAATCGTTAACTTAGTTAGTGGAACGGATTGTAAAAGTTATATAATGGATGGATAATGACTTATTATGTCAAAATTTAAGTTAAAATCACAAATATTGAGGTTTTGTGGGTTTTGGCCAAAATGCTCAAACTAGAGGGGCCAGATGTGAAAAATGGGAAAATAAGTTGAATACCCTCTCATTTCATTTCGCATATTCATGTTCTTCATCCTAGAGACTTCTCCAATGGTGATTTTCCATCCTCTATCATCTAAGGTTCGACTCAAGTGGAGAATTACGCAATCAAGCAAAGGAAAGAATGAATCAAAGCTTGCAAGGAAAAAATCTTCTCCCCATTTGGCCTAGAAATCATTTTTGGTGAAGTGGGTAAAACCCAATGTCTAAATTTGAAGGATATAATGATTAGGGAATTGGTTTCTAACTTCTTTTTGGTAGTTTTGATGAACTCAACCTCATTCTAATCATTCCATGATGGATTTGAGGATTTAGGTAAAAAATCCTTAGGAAACCTAGAAATCTAATTGGGAGATTTGATGTTGTTATGCTAGGATAAAGAGATTTTAAATGGCCTAGCTGATGTTTAGAATCAATAAAATCCAATTAGAATGCTCAAACACATGTATGATGGTAGCATGTTGCATAGACATGCAATTTATATGGTTTTGGGGAAATGTGATGAAACAATGGAATCCTTTGAATATGAGAATTTGATGAGTATATGATACTCATAAACATAAGTTGATACTAATAACACGATTTGAATTCAAAAACATGAAGACTTGAATGATATCTAGTGAATTTATGGAATAATTGACCATAAGGGCATTTTGAGAAATCTAGGGATAACTACATGTTGATTGACATCTAAGAGATGAATGGTGTTCATGGATAAGAAGAAATTGGAACATAAACATGAAAGATCTCTTGAGCTATAAGTGGTTCTATTGATTGTTTTTGTCTAAACGGGAAATTTGGGAAACATAGAATGGAATTGAGGATTTCATGGTTAGTTTATGTACGTACAATGAGATTAATGAAGGTTTTATGTGCTTGACAACACTCATTTGAGTATTCATTGCGTTAGGAACAAACCTTGTAAGCTTTGACATGTTTATTTGAACATTTGAAAAGTTTTCCTTTCCTATAGAATTTGAAGATTTTTATGATCTAAGGAAGTTCAATGATCACTTAATGATCTAATAGGAGTGTTTTATGATGATAAAACATTTCCTAAACATGTGTGAGAACATAAATAAATGGTACATAGTGAATGGGAAAAGGGTCTTTAAGAACTATGCAAAGTAGGGTGTTATTTTGAGAAAAATCGAGTTTTATATGTGTGCAGACATGAAAACATGTCCCATGGAAATTCATGCCTTAATTTCCACGGCTTTCCATGACCGTGGAAATCTCTGATCGTGAAGATACTTGTTTTCTTCATAACTTTTTCACACGGACTCGGTTTTACGTGCGGTTTTCGCCTACGTTGATAATTTTTCATGAGAGATAGTATGAAGCATTAAAATTTAGTATTTGAATCTTTGAGGGGTATTTTGTTCATTTTATTTACTTCTATCCATATATGGTGTAGGTAGTGTTTGAAGAAGATTGTTCTAAGGAAAGGAACTAGAAGAGCACTAGCTAACCTATGTGTGATTGAGGGAGTACGTGTTGGAATTTTTCCACTTTAGGGTTTTGATAATTAAATACGATGCTTTGATATATGAAATGTTTTGAAATATAAATGTTAAGTGTTTTTGAAAATAATGTTTTGAAAGAATGCCTTATAAGTAAGAACGCCTTGAAAGTAAAGATTGTTTTGGAAGAACAAATGTTTTGATAACGTGTTTGAAATGAGTATTTTTGAAAGTAATGAAAAGGAATGGAAAGTAATGACAAGAATTAGAAGGTAATGAAATGAAAATTGTCTGTGCCATGATAACTCATAAGAGGAACTAGAGGAATCTATCGGGGTGGCGCCTCCCCTTTTCAAGATAGATGTCCTAATGGAAATGATGCATTGGTGGATTGAATTGTTCTTTCTACCTTGGTCTAGAATTGGGAGTGGTTCCTTCATTAGACGTAGACCCTAAGTATAAAATGACAATGGTATAATACCGGAAATAACCCTTAATGATAAAATAAAACGGAATACGGAAACATGTCTTTTTAAATGAATTGATAAGATATTAAACGAATTGAAATTATATTTATGATGTTTACAAAATGAGTTTTCCTTGAAAATTCTTGAAACTGATTTATGATATAAAACTATGTTTTGCAAATAGGAAACATTTTTGACGAAAATGTGATAAATGTTTTGGGTCACAAACCCACATGCCTCACAAGACATTATTGTCTTATGTATCTTTTTTTAAAGTCATGTATCTTAGGTTACACTTAAGTAGAGAGGGTGATAGATGGATGTTAGAAGTCAAGTGATAGAGAATAGAGTGGAACTTATTAAGTTCTTCAATAATTGTATTGATGTAATTCTTATTTGGTTTCTATGGTTATATTGGTGCTCAATGGTAACACCTAATGTTTTAAATTTGTAAATGTTTTTGTGGGAGTGATTTTTGTTAAATGTGGGTTAACACCCGAATGTTTTTAAAACCATAGCATTTTAAAGTTTGATAAAAAAAATGAGGTATTACATTACTGTTCATTTCTGATTTTTTTTTCTTTTTCTTTCTTGTAATTGTTTATTGATTGGGAGAGGGTACAATTGCTTGTAGGCCGATGCATCACGGTAACTTTCTTTTCTTTATTTTTGTCTTTAAATTTCAATTTTATAAAAATCCAAAAAGATTTTCTTTATTTTTGTTTTTAAATTTCAAAATTTTCAAAAATCCAAAAAGATTTTCTTTATTTTTGTCTTTAAATTTCAAAATTTTCAAAAATCCAAAAAGATTTTCTTTATTATTGTATTTAAATTTCAAAAATCCAAAAAGAATTTCTTTATTTTTGTCTTTAAATTTCAAAAACTAAACAAAAAAATTTATTTAACCCCTGATGTTCCAAGTAAAAACCATCATTGAGTGAGGTTTTGTGAAAATCGTTTCCATGATTAATTTCATTATTACCATGAGAATATGAGAAACTCGTTTACGAATTCTAGTTTGCAACTAAAAGAACTGACGGGCGAAACATTTTTTTTATTTCTATGTACCAAATTCATTCCATATTTTCTTTCTACCATATCTCATTTCACATTCCATGTAATCCCCAGATTGTTAAGTAAAACGAACTTGATATTGGATTACAAAATTTTGTGTTTATGATCCTTTCGTTGTTATGATGACAACAATGAGAGAGACCCATAAAATAATTCCTAAAAGGAAATTAACGGTATCATCACTTCATCCATTTCTTTCGTCCATATCTCTATCACATTTCACTTAACATACCTTTGGGTTTTGAATAAAAACAATTTGCAACTTATGGTGCTATAAAATTTTGTGCTATGATTGCCTATTATCATCATAGGGTAACGTGATGCACCAATAACGTTTCTATTTCTGAAACCTATCTTCTCTATCACTTTCACACACATTACTTGAAATCCTTTAGGTCTCAGATAAAACCAATCTAAACCAAGATTTTACAAAGTGTAGTTAATGATTCAAGTCATTCTACCCGTGACTAGATTAAACTCTTCTTAACCTTGGTTATTCTTAAATGATGGCAAAATAATCATAATCGTAATTCCAATGGATACTATTTTGGCTTATGTAAAGGTAAAGGATGGATTAGTGATTACGAAACTTCTAGAAACAAACAGAATGTTTCAATATTGCAAAATCAAATCATGGCGCGCTTCTTGAAGCTCATTGATGACAATTTACCATTTCAAACAACGTTTAAAAGTAGTTACACTTTTTATGAGCTGAAGAATTTTTATTGAGTGATAATTGAAGACATGATGGGCATGAGAATATTTGGCTAGCATGAGCTGACAAGAAATAAATACGTGAACGACGGTCTTATCTCTCTACGTTTTTAAAACCGGTTCAAATTCAAATGAAAACCATTTGATATCCAAGCCTATATAAAGCTTTAGAGTTGTACATTATACTCTTTATGCTTACACAAGAATATACATTCTTCTACAATTCTCTCCATTTTTTTTGATTCTCTAGAAGTTTTCTTCGTTCTTAAACAGTTGGTTCTTCTACGAACATTTCCTTCATGGGTCACACCACTTCAACAACAATGCTCAAGATCAAGGCTAATCAAAACTTGGTAGCCGATTTAGATGCTTCAAAGTACAATCCTACTATTCGTCCTTTGATTTAATGTCTCAAATTCTCTACAGTGGCGAAAGATTTGTCGATGTTCGAGAAGGTTCCTTTGTCGTACCTTTCAAAGGCATATCCTACTGCTATCTATCATATTTCTAAAGAGATGGTTAATTTTGAAGTTAATGGGAATAAAACTTCAATCTCAAAGGCCCATTACTACAAGTTTCTAGGGTTTTCTTCTTCGGCTGATCTTATTCAACCTGAATCAGTGTCTATTTCAAGTCTTATATCAATGTTTCATCTAATAGAGTATAACTCTGATCTCTTTATTTTATCCAAGTTTAATACGACTGTTCTACCTTCCATTTAAAATGCCTTGTTCACCATTTTATTCAAGTGTTTATCAAAGAGGCTCACAAGCTCTGATAGTGCAAGCATAAATTTTTATACATTGATTTATGGCTTATTTTCTGGGCAGAACATTGATTTTGGAACAACTATTTAGGGCCAACTTACTCAAAGTGTGAGTTCTAACTCCAAGGATTCAGAAATTTCTTGTGCTAGATTTTGGTCAATCGTATTTCGAAGGGCATTAAATCATTATCATATGCCAGAAATGAAGGATTGTTTGGTTTTTGTGATTCCTAGAAATCAAACAACTACGTTTGTTACTTCATATCCTAAAATTTTTGATTTTTTCGGTTCTATTTCGAAGGTTATGATGACAAAAGTTCCATCTGATAATGATATCATCAAAGCTTAAAGAGAAATTCTGAATTCTAGCATTTGTGAAATTCTTCCTTATCTTAAATCCGCTCTTGAAACTTTTGAGTTGCCAAAAAGAGGAGGAAAACAACAATTACAAGCTATTGGAGATGTTCCCCAGAAAAAGAAGCATCAACAAAAACCAAAGAATCAGAGAATGGTGATTGGTGAAGATTCTGATTATCATACTCAAGGTAAGGATTTAAGGGAAGACTATTTTGTTCATGCTGATACAGTACACTATTCCAAACTCCTTCCTATGATTTCTAAACCAATTATCTCTGCTGAAATTCCGAAACTTTCTACTTCACTATCAACTCCACCTGAGTCTGATGTTTATCAACATTTGAAAGAACCTACTATTGATCTTTCTCAAACTCGACCATCTTCACTTCCAATATCTACATCAGTTCCAGATAATTCTTTTATACCACCTATTTCACAATGTGTTTTTGAACCAACATCAATGTACAAACCACTTTGCCATTCCCGTCTCTGGTGTTCTCTGATTCTACAACAACGACTCCTATTTCTCAAGCAACATCGATTGTTGATATTCCACCAGAGGTTCCTACTTTTGAATCCAAAAAGAATGAGAATAGGAATTTAAATATCCCTAAGAACACAACTAATGTGGACTCAGATGTAAACATTGGTGTGAACACTTCTGAATATCCATCAACTTCAATTTTATCTCTTCCTCCAAGTTCTTAAGAAGATTTTCTTGTTGGTGATGATCCTAAATCTCTAGAAGGTTTTTCTATTCCAAAATTCAATGGTCAAGTCGAAAGTGATGATGAAGTTAGTTTATCTACACCTATTACACGTGGTGAATTTCGTGATCCAAATAAGAAGCTTGATCAGATTCTTCTTCATACAAATTCCTTTTCGACCACCAATTGACAGAACATGGTTACTACTCATCAAAAAACTATTCAAATGTTGACTAAATAAAATGTTTATATTTTGGAAAATCACAAGAAGCTTGCTACTGAATCAACTCATAAGATAGCAGTAGAAGAGGGCAAAATTGATAAGGTTGTCTTGGATGTCAAAAAGTGAATTCTGAAATGCAAAAGTTTATTGATGCATTTCAAGCTTCATTAGATTCGAATGTTGTAGATGTTAATAAGGTCATTGAAGTATTTTGCACATCTCTTTAAAATGAGAAGGAAGCTCTATCTGGTATTCGTTTTGGAATTCAGAAAGATAATGTTGATCATCACACATCAATTGCAAATTCAATGTTAAGTTTACAAAATGATATTGATCATGAAAATGGGATTATGGATGCTCTTCCTGAAGCAAGTCAAAAAACCAAAGTTCAAAAGGAACAACTAACGCGTGCAATGATAGAGATTAACTGAGTAAATGGAGAGTTACTCTTGGTCAAAGATCGGAACTTTGAAATCAATCAGTGTTTGGTCAAAATTGTTGTGAACAAGGATGCTCGTTATGCTGATTATACTTCACAAATTATTGACACGATAATGAAGCCAATTCTTAAAAAGCTAAATGAAGTTCTGAATGTTATGTGTAGCCTTGCTATTGCGCAACAAGGGGAGATGAGGAACAAGAGGAACAAGAACAAGAAGCTATTGAAAATGAAGTTCCTATTGATATCAAATTCCAGAATTAAAATTGAGGAAGCCTTATGAAATAGGAAAAATGGTGAAGTCTGATGCTCCAAAAGTTGTTCTTGAAAAGAAAACTTTGAAGGAAAAATTGGATAATCTAATGGAAGTGAAAACTGGTCGGAAGGGTAATGTATCTTGCATATTAGGTAAAGGAAACGTAAATATCATTTTGGAACATGAAGATGAATTTGTTGGAATAGTGTCTAAGGCTGCAACTATATTATGCAAGTATTTGATCCGGTTGTGCATGGTCCTTTTGGGTTGCCTTCACCATAGCAACTTGATGGATGATTTGTTAAGAGAGAGTAAATATTATAAGGAATAATATATGGTTATTTGATTAATATATAAGTCATAAATTAATTGGAATTAATTTGGTGACTTAAAGAGATTAATTAAATAAAGGGGTATAAAATGTCAATTGTTTGATAGTTAAACTTTAGACTATAAATCCATTGGGATATGCTTTGGACGAATTCTAGAGATATGGATAGCTAAAATCGTCCAAGGGTTATCTATGGAATGGATTTGGATAGCCTTAAGAGAAGATTATCCAATTAGGGTTTAGGTTGTAACCCTTAAGGAGTCTACAAGTATAAATAGACCCTAGGGGTGAGGGAATTCGACACACCATCTAAAGTAGAGATACTCTGGCCGAATTCCTCCCCTCTCCTCTCTCCTAAATCATCTTGCTTGCTATTGGTGTTTGTAAGCCATTAGAGGAGTGACATTTGTGACTCTAGAAGCTCCAAGACAACAAGATCAACAAGGAACTCAAAGGTATGATTCTAGATCTGTTTCAATGTTGTTATTTAACCTAATTAGCCATTAGAAGTCTTGGATTCAAAGCATGTTTAATTAGAAAGCCTAGATCCAAGCATTAGGGTTTTGCATGCGCACATAGGAAAGTTCTTATGGCTAAAACCCATCAGTGGTATCAGAGCCTAGCTTGGTTTTCTTTAAATTGTTGCTTGATTAACTGAAACAAACCTGCAAAATTCGATTTTGGGTTTATGAGTCATGACTCGGCGAGTTCCAAAGTGGACTCGGCGAGTAGGCCTGACTCGGCGAGTCGTACTCGGCGAGTCCGGCGTCTGGATTAGGCAAAACCGGGATTTTTTCATGTTTATCTTATGGAAACTTACCTTAATCATATTAGATCAACCCTAATCCGATTTTTTGATATATATGACTATTATCTTGATCTAATTAAAGATATTTATCATCTAATAAAATATTTAATTTCCTTATGTGATAAATGATTAATTATTTTGATAATTATCTTAAAAGAAATCTTGGATAAATCAAATAAAGATAATTAGGATATTAATTGTTAATTGGAATTATTTGTTATTTGATCCTTCATGTTTTAAATGTTTAAAACCTACCCTAAAGTTTTGAAATTTATATTTGTGATTAAAAGTTTTAATTTAGACAACTTAAATTTCAAACCCTAGATTTTAAAAGTTTTAAAATACAACCCTATACTATATATTACTAGATATATATATCTAGAATATATATATATATATATATAGTATATACTAAATGCTAGTCTTACCGTTAGTAGGCCTCATTCACGAAGCCGATCTATAAGGTGGGTATAAGGTTGCGGCCTATAAAATGGCGCTTAATGGGTGTACACTCACACCCACCGCTTGCTTGATTGGTGGAGGGTCGTTAGCCGAACGGGTAGGATAGGGCAACCTCATCTTCTCATTAAAAGTATAATAAGAAATACAAAGTAACTACACGTTTTAAAAATTTCCCAATCTTAGTTACTTTAGGAAAAGTGAATTGATGCAATCCCATGAAATTACACTTTGCACCTTGCTAAGAAGTTAGTGGAGCGTGTGTGGTTTACCGGCACACTAATTGGTTCTAAGCGAAGGTGGCAAAGGGTGATTCATTGTTTATCATAGTTCGATGGAGCGTGTGTGGTTTACCGGCACATCGAATAGGTGATCGTTACAATGAAGGCACCATGTGAATTTGCATGGTAATTCACACCCGCTTTGTGATCCTCGGCATCCCAGTCACAAACAGAGGGGCATATCGAGATTTAAACATGCCATTGAATAGTTTCAATGAATCTCATCCGAACCTAGGAATTCTCAAAAACACTTAGGACTAATAGTTTAAGTTTTGTAATGGAGAATTAGTGAATCGTCATTCACTTACCTTCAATTTATTTGCATGTTAGATTACGGCATCCCTTTTCTAGTATGTAAATGTTATTGTTGGATCCTAGCCCTAATTTTCTTATTGGGTGATAATTAGGGATTCTTATTCTAATCTATCTTTGTCCTTTCTATAGATGTCGAACGCAAACAACGCTGCTGCTAGTTCTTTCACGTTGATGAGCCTTTGCCAAAAGGTCACCTTCGATGGAACGAACTTTAGCGAATGGATAAGATACATTCGCACCATTGCTCGCTATGAGGATAAAGAGTATGTCCTCGATGAGAAGCTCGAGAAAATCAACCCCGAAGTTGCTACTCCCGAAGAAATCACCGCCTTTGAAACTCATGAGCGAGATGCAACGAAGGTACATTGCATCATGATCGCCACCATGAACTCCGAATTCCAAAAGTCCTACGAGGACATGTATCCATACGAGATGCATCAAGACTTGTTGGAGAGATACCACCAAAACGCGAGACAAGAGCGTTACGAGATTTTCACTAACATGATCTCCGCTAAGATGGGTCATGGAGAATCTCTTACCGTGCACCTGCAAAAGATGCAAAGGTATGTCGACCGCCTTCGCAAGTTAAATGTTGACTTCGGTGAAGACTTGGCGATCGACATGGTGCTTCACTCTTTGCCTCCGATGTACAACCAATTTAGGATGACCTACCACATGAACAAAGAAGAGGTCACCCTAAGCAAACTCCAAGGTCTCTTGAGGGTCGCTGAGAGCAACTTCAAGGACAAGTCTGTTGCACCTACTCCCAATCCGTCCGCTGCTCCTGTCTTGGCTATTGGTCAAGGGAAGGGAAAGAAGAGGAAAGCTTCATCGAATAACTATCGCAAGGTGAAAGCCCGAGATGGTGCCTCTTCTAGTGGGACCAAAGTTGATCCCGCTAAGCCCTGCTCCAACCCAAAGGAGGCAGAGTGCCACCACTGCCACAAGATAGGACATTGGAAGAGAAGCTGCCCGGATTACCTGCAAGCGATCAAAGAAGGAAAGATCAAGCCATCTTTCGCAGGTATATACACAATCAAATCTAACGATTCTAATCATGCTATTTCTTGGGTTCTTGATACCGGTTGTGGTTATCACATTTGTTCTAATGTGCAGGGACTAAGAAGAAGTAGGGATGTAGAGCAAGGAAGGATCAATCTAATCATGGGGAACAGAAGATCGTCGCCTGTGACCAAGATTGGAGTGTATTCTTTAGTGCTTAGGAATAGTTTGGTTTTAGATTTGAACAATTGTTGCTATTCGCCAGAAATGGCTAGAAACATCATTTCATTTCATGGTTTATATAGACAAGGATTTAGATTTTCTTTTAATAATGAGAATGGTTCTATTTTGGCTTATCTAAATGGTGTCTTTTACTTTGAAGCTATACCATGTAATGGAATATATGAAACTGTTATGATTGTTGATAACTTAGGAAATGATGTTTTGAATATTGATTCTTCCACTAGTATGGATAAAGCATCCTTGTGGCATTGTCGTCTTGGACATGTCAACAAGAAACGCATAGCCAACTCCAAAAGGATGGAGTGTTGGAGTCATTCGACCTTAGGGAAGATGACACATGCGAGTCTTGTTTACTTGGAAAGATGACTAAGTCACCCTTCACGAGTACTTGTGAAAGGGGTGAGGGGCTATTGGACCTAATACATACCGATGTATGTGGACCCTTTAGATCAACCACGAAGGATGGGAACCGCTTCTATGTGACTTTTACCGATGACTATAGTAGATATGGGTATATCTACTTAATCAAGCAAAAGTCAGACACCTTTGAAAAGTTCAAAGAGTTCAAGAATGAAGTGGAGAATCAATTGGGCAGGAAAATCAAGATGCTTCGATCCGATCGAGGAGGAGAGTACCTAAGTCTTGAATTCCACGATTATCTCAAGGAGTGTGGAATAGTTTCGCAATTGACGCCTCCTAGGACACCGCAGTTGAATGGTGTGGCAGAAAGGCGTAATCGAACCTTATTGGATATGGTTCGCTCTATGATGAGTCGTGCTTCACTACCTATCTTCTTTTGGGGGTATGCCTTAGAGACTGCCGCCCATATCCTTAACCGAGTCCCTACTAAGAAGGTTGCCAAAACACCTCACGAGATGTGGACAGGGAAAGCTCCCTCGTTGGCACATATCAAGGTTTGGGGTTGCGAGGCTTTCGTAAGACGAGATACTCACGACAAGCTTGAACCTCGAAGTGAGCGATGTATTTTCATCGGCTACCCGCAAACATCCTTTGGATATCTCTTCTATAGACCGAAAGACAATGTTGTCTTTGTTGCGAGGAGAGGAGTTTTCCGAGAGCGAGAACTCATAAGCCAAGGAGACAGTGGGAGGCAAATCGAACTTGAAGAGATTCAAGAGTCGATAGATGAAGGAACCTCTACCGCTGGCATTCAACCCGAGGAGGAAACTCCGGTTGAACCGATTGACGAATCCTTACCTCTTAGACGTTCCGATAGAGTTAGAGTTCATCCCCAGTTTTATGGTTTTCATATTACTACCGAAGGGGACACGTATATTAGTGATGGTACACTAGTAAATCTTGATGAACCTAATAGCTATAAGGAAGCCATGGCAGGCCCGGAGTCTGCGAAATGGAAAGAGGCAATGGATAGCGAGATCCAATCCATGTACGATAACCAAGTTTGGAATTTGGTTGATTATGTGCCCGAACGTAAGACCGTTGGGTGCAAATGGATCTTCAAAAAGAAGACCGACGTGGATGGGAACGTACACACATATAAGGCGCGATTGGTCGCGAAGGGCTTTACTCAAACTCCCGGAGTTGACTATGATGAGACCTTCTCACC